GCAGCATCCACGGGACCCCTTGGCAAGGAAATGCTGCTGTTTGTCCCGTGGCGGTCAGGGGTGCCTGCTGTGGGGAGGGGGCTGTGTGGCAGGGGCAGAGCCGGGCCCCCCCGTCCCCCGCGCCGTGCTGACAGCGCGGGCTGTGCAGAAAGCGCTCTGCTCAGCAATTTCTCACGCTGCCTCCGAGCATGCAGCAAGGTTATTTCCAGGAGAGCAGCGTCGGCAGCTTCTGCCCAGCTGCAGCACATCCCTCCCCCACCGGCTCCTGGTTGATGGGGGGGGAGCAGAGGACCCCGAGGCCAGACCGGCTTCGCACCCCGGCCCCTGTCAGGGAAAGCCCACCAAGGGCTGGGGAGCATTAGAAAAGGGGGTACAAGCGCCGCAGCGGCTGGGCGATGTTAGCTTGTGCGTGGCTGGATCAGGCCCATTCCCGCATCTAGCTCCGTTTCCCAAACCGCGAACAACCAGGACTCCCCAGCCTATGCAACAGACCACCCGACCCCCGGCCAGCCCCTCTTTCTGGGCAGGTGCCCGGGCTGCCCCGTTGGGAGGCTGTGCAAGCCCAGGGAACTCCGAGCCCACCCCAGCGTTCCCCCGCAAGACGGGATTCCAAGGACCACGGCTACCTCCAGTCCAGCCTTTTGCACCTCTCCCGCTGCTGGGGGTACCCCCTATTCTCTCCTCCCCGCTCCCCCTGCCCCAGAGGGCGCAGGCCCCCCCCGCGCTCCCAGAGGGGCTCGGGGCACCGCTGCGAACAATGAAACCCTCCGGCACGGCGAGGCTGCCACCCCCGCCGCCCCCGCAGACCGGTTGCTTCTTATCCCCCCAACTTGTCGTGGGAAGGAGCCCACCTCGGTGCCCCACGGGCAGGCGGGACTCGGGGCTGCCCACGGGGCTGACGCTGTCACGCAGGGGATGTTTCCCCAAGGACCAACTTCGGCAGCGGACGGTGGCCCCGGAGCTGGGGACAAGACGGCGACGAAGGATGACACACCCCACCCCGCACCCCTCGCCCGTCGCGGGACACAACGCGGGGACCCCCTCCCCGTCCTGCCCTGCGTCCCCCCGTGTCTCCTTCCCGGTGCCCCGCCGGGCGCACGAACAATAGAGGCGGGGGGGCCCCTCCGGACCCCCGGCCCCTCACTCACCATCGCCGGCGGCGGGGCCAGGCAGCGTGTAGGGGGGCTCCAGGGGGGCGTAGGGGGGCGCGGGGGCCCCGGCGGCCGGGAACGCCTCCGCTTTCAGCTTCTTCACCAGGAAGGAGCGGGGCATGGCGGGGCCGGGCAGCGCTGGACACCTCCGGTACCGGCACCGCCACCGGCCCCGGCCCCCCCACCCGCCCCGGCCCCCCCCCCCCGCGGTGCGCACAGAGAGGCGCGGGGAGGCGAGTGCGAGGGGCGGGGAGGCGGCAGGGCGGCGAGGAGGAGGAGGAGGAGGAGGAGGAAGAGAAGGAGGTGGGGAAGAGGGGGAGGAGGAGGAGGAGGAAGGCAGGCGGTCGGGGGGGGAGGGGGCCGCTTCGCCCGGCCGCGCCCGGAGCCCCCCCAGAGCCCCCCGAGCCGCCGGCAGCGCGGGGTGCCCCGGGCATCACGACACTGTGGGGTCCCTGGTCCCTCCCCCTGGTTCCTCCCCCCACCCCGGCCACGGACAATGGGGACACAGGGGGACGGGGGGAGACGAGGGAGGGAGGGGGGGCACATGCCTCTGCCTCCCACCGCCTTTGTCTCCCTGCCGCCAGTTCCCGGGGCCAGGGAAAGACGGGTCTGCCGAGCAGGAGACCTCATCCCCTTCTCTGTCCCCATCCATGTCCCCTGTCCCCATTCCTGTCCCTTGTCCCTTGTCTTGTCTCCATCCCTGTTCCTGCTTCTTGTCCCTTTCTCCTTCCTTGTCCTTGCTCCCTGTTCCTATCCCTGTTCCCAGTTCCCATTCCCATCCATCTTCCCTGTTCTCATCTCTGTCCACAGTCCCTTTTCACTGACCCCTTTCTCTTTCCCTTCTCCCTCCTCCCTTCCTCTGTACCATTTTCTCTGCCCTCAACATTTTCCCCTCTTCTTTTTCATCTCTGTCCCACCTCTGTCTTGTCCCCATCCCTGCTCACTGTTCCCATCCCTCTTTTCCCACCTTCTCTCCCCTTCCCCTGTCCCTGTCCCACTCCCATTCCCCAGGAAGCACCATGACCTTCGGAGCCACAACAATAGCTGGGCTCGTGGCAGTTCATTGTTCCCGGCCAGAGCTCCCACTCTTCCTCCCCCCTCGTCTCATTGGAGTTCCCACTCGCATTCCCCCCCTCCTCTCTGCGCTCCACTGCAGGCAGCTGGTGGTCCGGGGATGCCTTTCCCTGCAGTTGTGCCATCTAAAGGCCGGAGTTGTGCCATCTGAGGGCCAGTGGGTGACACGGGGACCTGACTGGCAGCTGGCCGTGCTCTCCCTGAGCCTTGTGCAATGCCAAGAGTGTTGCAGCATTTAATAAGGACGGTCCCTCCACTACCACGGCCGGCAGAGTGCTGGCACGGCTGGCACGGGGCAGCCCTGGGCTCACTAGCCCCTTTGGCCTGGGATGTGGCACCAGGTCTGGGGACCAAAAGCAGCATCCCCACAGGCAGCACTGTGGGCCTGCCTGCTCACAGCCACGTCTGATCCTTCAGTTGTGCCCAGAGCCACATCTGGATCCAGCCCTGCATCGCAGTGCCCCTGCTCCACTGCTTTGTGTGGTACTCCACAGCCCAGGGCATCCCACAGCATCCCACAGTATCCTATAGCCCAGGGCATCTCACAGCCCACATCATTCCACAGCCTAGAGCATCCCACAGACCACAGCATCCCACAAGCATCTGATATCCCACAGCATCTCACAGCATCCCAGAGCTCACAGCATACCCCATCCCAGAGCATCCCATATCTACAGCATGCCACATCCTACAGGATCCCAGGGCTGCTCCCCATGTGGGCTGGAGTCTCTCCACTTGCTCCCGCAGCGCTTGGCCAGGGATTGCCAGCAGCACCACGAGCCCCATCTGTCCCTGCAGCGCTGCCCTGACGTCAAGGCTCTGCCAAGTTCAAGGTCACCTCTCCCGCAGGGCTGCGGCCCGAGGGGACATTGCCTGCCGGGCTGCTCGCGGCATCCCACACACACACACTGGGCTCCCGGCCTCCTCTCCCTGATTTATTTATCCGTGCGTGTGCCTGCTCTCTCCTGGAAGGCACGTTTGCACAGCGGGCGATTACTTACGCCCTAGTTGGGCCTGCCTGCCCGCTGCCCGCCCGCTGCCCGCTGCCTGCCTGCCCGCTGCCTGCTGCCTGCCTGCCCGCTGCCCTGGGATTTTGTCTCTCTCCAGGCTGCGGTGTAATAAGGGAGGTAATTAAGTGTAAAAGGCAGAAGGAGGGAGGGCTGGGAGGGGGGAGCAGCCCCGGCTCCTTTCGGAGGCAGGGGACTGCGATAATGTATGGTAATAACCGCAGCCAGCCCTGCCGAGCTGATAGCGCTGACGGCAGCGCCTGGGCCCCCCCCAAACCTGCCCCCGCCACTGTGGGGAGGGGGAGCAGCGCTAGAAGAAAGGCTCAGCCTTCCTCCACCGGGTTTGTGCCTTCCTGAGCAGCTGTATGGAAATAATTCCCATCGGAGGCAATTGTTTCCCAGACAAGAGGGAGGGGGCTGCGGGGGTACTGTGGGTGAGGGGTTCTGGGGGCTCCCAAGGGCAGGATCATCCTCTCGGGGGGCAGGAGGAGAGAGGTCAGGTCCTTATTCCAGTTCCCAGTCTACCTACAAGGGACATATCCTGCTACTGGAAGGAGACAAGCTGCCCTGTGGTGTCCCCACATCTCCCACTGGTCCTCAGCTCCCCCATCCTTCATGGATCCTGGACACGGGCTGTGGGGTCAGCCAGGATCTGCCAGAGGATTCCCACTAGTGCCAGGAAGCAGAGCCCTCACTCGTGCCCTCTCTGCTGCCTCAGCTGCAGGACCCCCACCACTGCCAGCTTGGGGGGCTGCTGGCCATTACGTATTCCAATCTCGTCCTTCCCAGAGGCGCTCGGGTCGCAGCCAGAGCCCCGAAGTGGCTCCAATCCGTGGTCTGGTGCTGCCGCCAGCGCAGGGAGCAGATGCCAGACAAAGGGCCGGGGACAAAGGCCCGGCTGCTTCGTGCCCCAGGGAAGGGGCGCAGGCGCGTGCAGGGCACGGGTGCTGTCCCATCCCGGGGCTGCCACTGCCCCGACCTCCCGTGCTTGCCATGCCCCAGTGTCCACCCGGCCCCCACCCTGGCTGGCATGGCTGGGGCACAGCTGACTACCAGGTGGGCCAGCCCTGGCACTGGTGCTGTGCCACCTCTGCCACGGTCACTGTGCCCACACTGCTCTGCTGCGGCCTCTCTCCAGCTCTTCCCATCTCAAGGTGCAGCAAGGCTGAAATGGGGTGCAGGGAAGCACAGGGCTATGGGGAGGGAGCACAAAGCATGGATGGGACCATAGCAGAGGGTGGCAAACATGTCACTCAAGTCCCACTGTGCCTCAGTTTCCCCAGCTGCTACTGGGGGCCTTGTAAAAGTTCCATGTTCCCCCACCGTATTCCCCCACCATTCCCCTCCCCATGGCCGCCTTTGTCCCCACTCCCCTCAGCTGGTTCCAAACCCTCTGTTTGGGGGCAGCTGCCACAGTACAGGGCCGGGAACGCCACTGGTGCTGCCGGGTGCAGCTGGGGCTGTGCCCACCCACAGAGTCCAAGGGGGCTTTAGGGCACGATGCCAAATAGTGCCGGACCCCCCAGAGGAAGGGACTGGACATGGCCCCAGTTGAGAGGTACCCAGGTGGGGAGTACTGGCACAGACAGCCCCATCAGCATGGAGGATGTGGGCAGCAGAGAGGCAGAGAGCTGAATAAAACACCTTCTATTGTTTTCAGATGATGGGAACACCCCGTGCCCAAGATGGGGACACAGCCCTGAAGAAGCTGCTCCCTGGCAGAGCCCATCAGGGAGCTGTGATTGCAGCTGTCCCAGTGCCAGCACTGCTTCCCAGCCAGCCAGCCCTCCTGATTTTTGGGAGTTCATGCTGGGCACTGCAGGCTGCAGTAGTCAGCAGATTTGAAAAGGCTGTAGACGTTGACAAGGGGGAACATGAGCAGTGCCCCGAGGAGGGAGCCCAGCTGCTCTAGTGCCCCGTACCACACCAGTGCACTGTGGCTGCAGCTCCGCAGGATCACCCCGGCCATCACCTTCATGTAGGAGAGTGTCCCGGTGAACAGCACCCAGGAGAGGACCTGGTGGCATAGGTGGAAAAGTGATCAGGGCCAGGGGTTTCCCACTGTGGGGACATTGTGGTGAGGTCAGGTCCAGGTGTGGCATCAAAGACCTCCCTGAGTGAGAGGGACACCGTGACTTACAATGATGACATCGCCCCATTGGGACTGCTGGAGGAGTGGGCAGGGACTCATCACTGCAATGGCCATGTTGTAGGCACCAAAGCCTGTCCCTGCCACGGTGAGGATGACCATCAGGGTCAGGGATCTGCAAAGGACACGTGAGTGTCACTGGAGAACACTACCTGTCCCTGGTGAGCAGCACAGGCACGCAGCACATTCTGGCTCCTTGCTGGCTCCATCCTCCTTTCTGGGGGTGTCTGTGCTGCCAGGGCATGGACACCCCACAAGCCCTCTCCCACCCAGTGCTTACACCCCCAACCCTTGCAAAGTAGGGGCCACTCTTGGGGCAGAAGCCCCTGGTGTGCACCCTGATGCAACCCCCAGGGCCCTGCAACCTACCTGCTGGGCAGGAACATGGCCACGATGCAGGCGAGGGGGTTGGCCATGGAGCTAAGTGTGGTTGCCAGGTGGTAGGTGGTGTGTCCGTAGGGCAGGCAGGAGTAGGACTGCACAGATGGCAGGGCCCCGTTGGTCAAGGCACTCACCCAGGTGACGAGGAGGTAGATGAGGGTGAGCTGGGCAAAGGAGTAGGAGACCTTCTGTGGCAGGATGTCCCCAGGTACCTTGGGATCCTTTGGGCATGAGCAGCCTCTGCTCAGCTGCGAGTCAGCTCCCTCATCAAGGATCCGGTCAAATGAGTTCAGCACAATGTTGCTGGGAAAGAGGTGCTGCTGAGAGAGCTCCCACACCTTGGGCTGTCGGGTGAGGAAGAAGAAGGCCAGCAAGCAGGTCAGCATCATTGCAGTCATAAGCAGGAAAAAGATGAGGGTGGAGAAGTTGGGTGGGAGGTATTGGGTCTCCAGCTGAAAGATGGTGCCCTCCACAGTCTCGTTGCCAGTGGTGATGTTGACCTCGTAGCTGACATTGGTGCAGCTGGAGACACCAGAGCCCTGGCCCAGGGCAATGAGAGCAGGGATCAGACCACTGAGCCCTTCACCTATGAAGAAGGTGTTCGTGTACTGGGGCTGCAGCTGCATCATGAAGGGCAGGAAGGTGACAGAGGAGGTGCAGTCCACCAGGGCCAGGAAGAAAGTAAGGATTAGGAAGGCGATGCTGTGAGATGTCCCAGCAATGAGGGATGTGTGGTTCCAGAGGAAAGCCAGGAGCAAGCAGGCCATGACACCCACGGACACGATGGCATAGATAACAGCCACCTCCTTCAGCAAGCCAGGCCGAAAGCGATTCATGAGGGTGACAAAGAGTGGTCCCACGTTGGCCATCTGGATGATGATGGTGATGTAGGAGGGGAGGTACCACTGCTCTGGCAGCACCGTCACCAGCAGTGGCACCTCCACCCACAGCCCGTTGATGGCCACCCAGGAGCCCATGCCGAAGGCACAGGCCAGAAGGTGGGTGAGCAGTGCCATGGCTCAGGGCTGGGTGCCTGGGCCGGGGAGTGACGCTGCTGTGCTGTGGAGAGAGACTTTGATAAGTGGTGAGGTGAGATCTTCCAGATCCTGGCCATGTCCTCCCGTGACAACTGCTGGTGTTAGCAGAACAGCTTTCCTCCTACGTGCTGTAGGGGTGTGGGACCCACAGCCCAACCCAGCCCCACTTTGCCCTCTGCAAGCCCTGTGGACCCCCCTGCCCCCTCCAAGTGATGATACAATGCCCTCCTGCCCTGGGTGTGGATCCTGATGAGCTTCACCTAGTCTCATCCCGGAGGGCTGAGGCTTGGCAGCAGCAGGTGCGGTACCCTGGAGGGCATTGAACCTGTGCCAGCTCACGTTGCAGTTCCGTGCAGCTCGGCACAGCCGCAAGCAGGGTGAAGAGGGCTCTCACCTGGGGGCTGAGTGGCCTGGGCAGCTGCTCCGCTGGGAATGGACGCCTCGTTCCTCCCACTGCATCTGCAGGGCAGGACGATGCCCGTCCCCTCCCAGCCAGGACCCGTGCGATCCCGTCACGCTCCGGTGGCACGGAAGACAGGCCCCAGCAGCCCAACCTGCAGCCCAGCCTCTGCTCGTACCAGTCAGCTGAGTCAGCTGGGCTCCGGACACATCCCTTGCCCACTCCCATCCCGCTCCTGGACAGAACTCTCACGTCCCGTGTCCCTACGTTCCGTACCCCCGCGGTCTCACAGAGCCGTCTCCAACCCTCTCCTGGGGCGCTGAGGCCGCCGGAGGAAAGTCAGGTCTCACGGGGCTGAGCCTGGCGGGCACAGCGATCCACCCATGGCCCCGGCCCCGCGGGGAGGCAGCGCGCTGGGGAGCAGGAGGCAGGAAGGAAACGGGCTCCGGTCTGACCGGTCCCTCGGCAATCTCCCAAGGGCAACTCACTGCGCTTTGGGGGAACCGGCAGCACCACGCGGGCAGGAGCCAGTCCTGGCTGCCGGAGCAGTGACGTGACGCCGGCGCGTCACCACCTCCGGATGCGGACGGTGATAGCCTGGCCCTGCTCTGTTCTTCGTCTTGATCCCAGCTGGCAGATTCTCTAGCTCAGGGGGGTTATTATTCTTGGCGGTGTCCTGGACTTTGTCCCTGTCCTCGCCTGAACCGTGTCCCACCTATCACAGACACTTCTTGCAGGTGCAAGTGTCACCCGGTGACGGTTCCTGACCCCATCAGGATCTCTGCGGGGTCACGGATTGGCATGGGGCGCTGGGAAACCTCCGAATGTGGCAACTGTCCCACTTCGGGACACTGCGGGGACCAAGCCGTGAGCCAGCGGATGAGCCATTTGCACCGGTAGGGAGGTGACACGGGTGAGGAGACAGACCCCTGGTCACCCCCAGCAGGACCCCTCCCCTCTCCCATGCCTGGACCCACCGCCCCAGGATGCCTCATGGCAGCTCTTCCCCCAGCACCCACCGGGTGTCGCTGGGAGAGCAGGCTGCAGCCCTGCAAAACCTGGGGCTCTCTTTTCCGATTGCTTCCCTGCCCTACCTGTCCCTGTCCCTCCGGGGACGACAGTGTGCTCCTCCACCCTGCCCTGCGCCTGTGGGAGCACCCATAGCAGCCAGGACCGTTGGGTTTAGTGGGGACAAGGGTGTCTCTTGTCCCCGGGGCTGCAGGGACACTGTGTGACAGTGGCGGGGGGAGGGTCACAGTTTGGAGGTACTGCTGCGATTTAATCCCAGCAGGCAGATCAGCCCCCTTCAGCTGCTCAGTCACATACACACCTCCGGTGGGATGGGGTATAAAATGGGAAAAGATAAAATGGTAAAAGGATTGAGATAAAACCAGTTGAATAGGAAAAGCAAGGATGTCCTATAGTCCGGGGTATCCAGGGGCGGGGGGGCGGGGTGGGAGGGGAGGGGCAGAGCTGTCCCATCTACGTCCCCTCCCAGTTTCTATGCGCTCTCACTCCCTGGTGGGGCAGCGGGAGGAGCGAAAAAGTCCTTGGGGCTCTGTGAGCGTGGCTCAGCCTTGATCAGACACTCCTGAGTTATCAGCACTGCTTTCAGCACTACTCCAAAACAGTCTTGCCCTGGCTCCTATGGACAAAATGACCTCTATCCCAGTCAAACCAGTACCAGGACCCCAGGGGACCTGGAAGGTGGGGAACAGGTGCGAGGTGCTGGGGAAACCAGGGGCAGGGGACTTGGAGTGGGCGCTGGGCAGCTGAGGTCATTGTGTGTCCAAGGGTATGGGGACAGGGAGGGGACAACAATTGTTCTGTGTTTAATTTGTCGGCACAAAGAGGCGGCTCAGCCGGCAATGAGACCCTTCCCAAGGGCGAATGGCTACGGGGCAGAGGCAATTCGAGGGGTTGCTGGGTGTGGGACCCCCGTGTTGCCCCTTCACGCTACTCATCCAAATCCACCCGACGCGTGCTGCTTGCCCTGCCTGTGCCTTCTCCGCCCCCTGCCCGCCTCGCAGCTGAACTCCCGGCCCCCCGGCCCCTCGCCCCTCCGCACCCCCGGCAGATGCGAGCGAAGGCCCCGGAGCAGATGGCAACATTTGGTAGCCGAGTGGTCCCTGCCTCCGGGACTTTGCTGGGCTGCGATGACCATCCCTCCAGGAAGCTCCCTCCTCACCCAGCCAGGTGTGGCAGATGGGGAGCCCATCCCAACTGCAGCCAGCGCATGCCAGAGGGTGCGGCAGGGATCCCCAGGGTGGGCACACTGCCCGTGCCACGGGGCGAGGGTGGAAGGAGGGCATGGAAAGATTGGCAGCCCAGAAAAGCAGGGGTCTGTCCTTGAGCTCAGCCCTAGTGAGACTCATCCCCTAATATCTTCTTCCATGTGTGAGCAGTGGGGATGTCTGCCTGGGCAGAGGGTGGCTGCTGCTCCATTGCTGGGGGACAAGGGGACCCCCTCACTCCAGAGACTACTGGCCACCCTATTTGAGAGGGTATGACCCCCAGACTTGGGGCCTGCTGACAGGTCTCAGTCTGGACCCTGACAGCCCCAACCCTATTTGCATTCCATTTCCATGTGAAAGGAACAGGTCAAGTTGAAAGTGGAAAGGCTGGTGGGGAGTAGCCGGGAAGGGGCCGCTGCTGGAGGTGAGACCCCAACAAAAGGGCCGGGTCCCCAGGGCCCAGTGCTCGGCTGGCCATGGGCTGCGGCCACGGCCCCACGGCAGCCGCCATCTGCGGGTCTGTGCCGCAGCCACCACCGGCCAGACAAAGGCCTCGTGCCCGGCATGTCCCCATCTGTCACCTCCCTGGTTCCCGGATCTCTTAGCAGAGACCGAGTGTGAACATCCGGGTGCAGGCAGCATCATTCCTTTTGCCCACAGGGAATGGGGTGATGCTGGGTGCAGCGGGTGCCTCCCCACTCTGTCCCCATGTTCCTTCTGAAGTGGCTCTGTAAAGCTCTTGCTGGGGAAACTGAGGCAGGAGCGGGTGGTGGCTTATCCTGGGTCAGGGGACGGCAACAAGCTGGAATAAAACACTGGGAGTTAACACCCAAGATGAAGAGGTTGGGGACTTCTCAGCTCTGGGGGTGCTGCTGCGTGGGGGTGCCCACACGGCTGAGCCCCAGATCTGCGGCTTGGCAGGTGTTGCCAGGCACCCATAGCTGCCTCCGCACAGCACTTCCGGGGGAAATTGGCCGCTGAGTGTGTTTTCTGCTCGCTGGCAGCTTAATTTAGCATCCAGGAGGTCCTGGCAGTGGCACGAGGATGTCTGTAGAAGGTGAAAGCAAAAGCACGGCCAGCGCCTGATTGTCCCTCTGTTCACAAACACTGTCCCCGTGTTCCTGGAGCAGCGGTGGGGATGCTTGGGGAGCATTTCTGCAGGAGCTGCCCTCCCGGAGCATGTCCCGGTATGCTCCCAGGGAGGGCGAGGCTTGGGGCGCTGCCTGGATCCAACGCCCCGCTCCAACGGGCCAGACGTGCCCGAGCAGCTCCTGCAGCCTCCTGCCTGCACCCGCACAGCCTCGGCAGCTGTGGGGGGACGCAGCCTGCGGGCTCTGCCCTTCCTACTAACTGGGATTTTCCAGATGAGCCCGTTGTGCGAATCTGTGCTCAGGGCAGCCCTCTGGCTCCCTGACTGTATGCTTTCCTTGGCCCTTCTCCCTCCACCAGCGCCTTGTCTTGCTCCAGGAACCGTTTGAACAATGCAGGGCTGTAACTGAGCTCCATAGCATGAGCCAAATGCTCATTCCCTCCATGCAGAGCTGAGCAGAGATGCCTGTACCATGGGGCACAAGCCACCCTGGGGCTGGGTTCAGGCCAGCAGGTTCAGGTGGCTTGGTGACCCTGTTCCAGTCTGTCACGTCCCTTCCTACTATCCAGTTTCTTTTCCTGCATGTTGGAGTTTATTGCTGCTGGGTGCTTGGGGAAACAGGGTGAGATTTCCAAATCAGAGCAGGCCCTGCCAACTAGCCATACCAGTGATACGAGGGAATCTGTGTGCCCACAGGAAGGCTGGGAATTTCCCGTGTCCCTGAAGCCCTAACCCAGTACCAGGACCGTCTGTCCACAGTGAGCAGCTACATCCAGAAGCATTTTAGCTTTGTCAGTGTGAGAAACTCGGGCTGTGTATACATCCAGGCTGCTCAGCCGGCACCGCGGGCTGAACCGGCACCCGAGACGTCACGGGGCACCGTCACACTGCCTGACGCAGCCTGGCATGGAGGAATGCCCCGTGGTTTCGATCCCATGTGAGCGCTGAGTTGCCTCGGAGGGCGTCCTCGCCCGGCGCTGACTCAGCGAGCAGCAGCCGCCGCATGCAGAACCGCTCCAGCACCCTCCAGCCGCCGCCACGCTGGGAGACGGGGAGGACGTGGCTGGGGAGCAGGAGGTGTGGGGACATCAGGACACCATCGGGACACCCTCGGAAAGAGAGCAGGGAGAAGCAGTGTGGCAGCTGATCCGTGCCGAGGAGGCTCCCACGCTTCAGGGCCGATCCAGGTGGGTGGCAGAGATGGTGCTGGTCCCATGCTGGTCCAGAGCCAGCAGAATGGAGCTGGGTGAGCCGGTGAAGGGGTCACAGCCGTCTACCTCTGGAGCAGCTCCTCCAGGCAGGAGGTGACCTGGTGTGCCTTGTGAGCCTGGCTGAACTGCCCACCCCAGGAGGGAGAGGAGCTGTGGCCACACTGGGCAATCCCCTGATCTCAGATCCCCGCACTCCAACTGGATTTGGGGCATGGAATTATGTTGCCGTGTTTTTTGGGGCTATTTGGAGGGCGGCTCCGCTCGGCTCAGCTTGTCTCGGTGCAGCCCAGCTCGGTGTGGCCGTGCCAGCACAGTGGCTCAGCAGGAATGTGGAGCAGCAGGTTGTGCCCGGCCGGGCTGTCCGTGCTGGGGAGGAGACCCTGTGCCGGCCACTGGCGGCTGTGCTGGGGCTCCCGTGTCCTTGTCCCTGCACTTCGACAGTCACCTCCTCTGTGACTTGGCTGAGCGTCTGGTAAAAGGCTGAGCTACAGTGCCTGACGTGGGGACATTTTCCCACTTTGTCTTGCCTGGGGGACACTTTTGCACCCCTGTGCTGAACCGAGGAGCCCTCGTGTGCTGGGCACAGGTACTAGAGCAGTGAAGCTGGCCATTGGCACAGGGGCTGGGCAGCACTGGACCCGAGGGGTCGGGCAGAGGGGTGCAGAAAGCTGCCCCGGGGAGGAGGCAGGAGGATCTGTGCCGGTCCTAGGACAGCTCCCAGCTGTCGCCACGCCTGGCCGCCCCCCTGCAGACATTTTCCAGGTCAGGAGGCAGCATGTCCCCCCAGGCAGGGGACGAGGACGGGGAGAGGGGCAGCCAGCCTCCCCCATGGCCACTCATCTGTCACAGTGTGTCAGGGAGATGCACCGTGTGCTGTGCAGGGATCCTGCTGGGGTCCAGATTCTGGGGAATATGGCTCGCGTGGGCTGGTAGGGGGTGCAGACATGGCTCAGCTGTGGCTGAGCCATGGCTCGGCGGGCCTATGGGTGCCAGGACTGCCTCCTGCCGCCGGCGGTCAGTGCTGGGACAGGCGCTTGGGCGCTCCCAGGAAGTTTGTACACGCAGGTGAGCAGCTGACGGCGGCAGCTGCCTGCTCGGGGCTGCCACGGGAGCGAGGGAGGCCACAGCACACCTGGCCCCGCCCTGCCCACCACTGCGCCTGGTGAGTGCTGGGGCTTGCTGTCACATCCCCGGGCTCATCAGTGGCCCAGATCGGGACCCTCAAGAGGAATCTCAGAGCAGCTTGGGAAGGGGGTTGGGGGAAGGGGTCTGACCCACATATGCTCCTGTGAGCCCTGACACTGCTGAGCCTCTCTGGGTATTTGGGCTACTCTGGGTGTGCCCACCTCTGGTCAGGGGGCTGCAGAAGGGTGTAGGGCTGTTTTGGGTGCCCTCCCCCCCCTTTTCGCTGTGGGCGGGCTGGTGCCTCTGCGCGACCGTTGTGGCGGCTGCGCTTGTTGGGGCTGGCAGGGACCCAAGGACACGGGGTGCACAGGGCCTCATGCTGCTCCGAGCACACCGCGGCCGGGGAAGCACGAGTGGAAACCCGTGTATATTCCACGTACTTTCCAAGGAGCTCTAGGATGAGAGCAGGGAGCCTGGGAGCAGCCCCGGAGCTTGCGAGAGGGCTGAGAGCTGAGGGAGCAGCAGAGGGAGTGGAGCACAGAATCCACCAGCCCGGCAGGGTGGTGGGTGATGGAACCTTGGGCATGGGTGCAGGCAATGCACCCCTGGGCGTGGGTGATGCACGCCTGGGAGAAGGAAATGCCCCCCTGGATGTGGGCAGTGCACCCCTGAGCATGGACGATGGGCACATGCAATGAACCCCTTGATGTGGGCGATGAACCCCCGACACCTGCGACTTGGGCAGAGCATCAGTGAGGGGTGCTTGGCCCTCTCTGCCCCGTCTCTCCCCAGGGTGCCCCTCGCCGGGACCGGGGCACCCTCCCCGCCGGCGCTATTGGCCCCGTTGCGGTTTGAAGCAGGCGTGCCGCGCGGATTGGCCGGGCCACTTGAGGAGGCTCGGCAGCGCGGAGGCGTGGTGACCGCCTTCAAATAGGCAGCGGAGTCGGGGGCGCAGCGAGTGCGGTACCGCACAGCCTGGGCTGTCTTTGTCTGCCGTGGGGCCGGGGCGCGGGGAGGGGCAGCGGCAGCATCGCCACGGCTCTCACTCCGTCCCCGCTCTCACTCCGGCCCCTCTTCGCAGCCGACAGCACCTGAGCCCCTCGCTGCCCGTGGCGGCCGCCCACCCGTGTCCCGGTGCCGGCACGGAGGATGTCCGTCGAGGCGCTGCAAGCCGGTGACACCATGAAGGGGATGACGGTGACGGCGCCTTTCACCTCGGCCATGCCCGTCCGTATCCTCCGCAAAGGGCCCGCGTATTTCCGCCGGCACGCCGAGCCGGGGGCCGGCAAGCCCAGCGCGGTGGAGAGGCTGGAGGCCGACAAGGCCAAGTACGTGAAGAGCCAGAAGGTCGCCAGCACGAGGCAGGAGCCGGTGAAGCCACTGCTGCTCAAGCAGCCCCTCTTCAGCCCCGGGGTGCGCCGGGCTGTGCTCACACCCAGCCGCAGGGCACCCCCGGGGCCACGCCGCGCCGATGCTGCCAGCCCGAAGACCTCCCTTGACCTGGAGATCCTCAACAACCTCATCAACCTATGTGACAGCCCCTTCCCTAAGGCGGAGACGCCGCTGGGCAGGGAGTGCAGGTGGCGAGCGGAAGCGCCAGCGGTGGAGGGGGCTGTCAAGCCACCGGAGAGCCCGGCCACCACTAAGCCCCCCGGCAGTGTGGCCGTGCGGAGGGTGGACGTCCGTCCCTGTGGAGCTCCGCGGAGCCCAGTGACACCGCTGCCAGCATCCCCCATTCCAGGTGGGCTGCCTGTGACCCCGTCTCGGAGCTCACCCGCCCGCCCGGAGAGCGCCCGCCGGCAGCCGCTGCTGCACCGCTCCAAGTCGGACCTGAGCGATCGGCTTTCGAGGGCCACTGCCGACCTGGAGCGCTTCTTCAACTACTGTGGCCTTGACCCCGAGGAGATGCAGGACATGGGGGCTGAGCGCTTCGCCCGCGCCAGCTCTGACATCGTGTCCCTCAAGTTCCACAGCGTGAGCACGGCCAGCTCGGAGGGCGGCCACTCGCCACCCAGCGCTGCCACGCCGGAGGGACGGCCGGCAGAGCGCGTGCCCTACGGCATCTCCATCATCGAGCGCAACGCCCGTGTCATCAAGTGGCTCTACGGGCTGCGCCAGGCCAGGGAGCCCCAGCAGGTCTCTGATGTGTAGCAGTGCCATGGTGGGCACCGGGGATGGGTCGCTCACAAGCGGGCAATGCTGGATGGGGACAAAGCGCAGGCTGTGCCTTGGGAGGAGCAGGGACCTCTTGGTGGTGACAGGACCCTTGAACTCAGCCCTCTTGTGCCACAGCATCACTGGCCTGATGTGGTGGCCAGGGATCCATTGTCAGACCCCTGTGCCAGCACTAGAGAGCCAGGTCCCTGCAAGCCCCTGGGAAGGCAGAGGACACGTGCCACTGGGTGTGTGGCTGGTCCTCAACACCCACAGGACTTCATGTGTGGCTGCCCTGCCTGCACTTCTGGCAGCTCCTGCCTGTCCTGCTCCTCACCAGCACCCCGGGGTGGGGTGCAAGGGGCTGGTTATCCCCTGCATGGAGCAGGGATACTGCACCAGTGAAGGAGCTGCCCCCTTGCAGCCTCCATGGAAGGGGTCCCACTGCTGGGTTGGTGGCTACATCTTGGTGGTCCCATTTTATTGCCGAAGAAAAGCCTGGTGCTTTGAGGGGTGAGGGGGAAACCTGAGCCCCTGCTTCAAGCTGCCCAGGGCTGTGTGTCTGTGTGTGTGAGTGTCTGCGGGTGCCTGTGTTCCCCTCCCCAGCTGCCAGTGGGCACGAAGCCCCCACCATGCTGGGCCTGGTATTTATGAAGACAACAGTTCTATTTTCTACTCTTTTCCTTGTGTTTGATCTGTAAATAATAATAATAATAATGCAGCCAGTTTTATTAAATGCCTGTGTTTTGGAGGCTGTGTGTTGTCTTTTGGGGCGGTGGAGGTTGGGATGGGACAGGGACTCTTAAGGTGCCTGCAGCTCTGCAGGGCTATGGGTGCTGAGAGGATGGGTGCTGGAAGGGAACCATGGGTTCCATACTGCAGTGTGCCAGCGCGGGGCCCGGCAGGCACGGCAGGGCGGCGGTTGGGTCTGGCAGGTCCCGGCAGAACCCCAGCTGTTGGGATTCCCCTCTGTGCCATGCACCCTCCCCTGCCTCCTTCCCTCACTCCTGCAAAGCTTGGCCAGGTCCCGGCTCCCCAAGAACTGGGAGATGAGGGCGGCAACAGCAGACACCTCCCAGGTGGGCTGGGATGAAAGCTGCTGTAGGGAGCGCTTTGAAGATGAAAAGCGCCCATGTTCTCCCAGGGCAGCCTCGCATGGCACCGCAGCCCTCCTGGCACCTCAGGTGCCACCTGTGCCCTGTGCTCCTCATGTGTCCCATGCAGGCAGGTGTCTGCTGGGGAAGGTGACATTAAAGCCACCAGCAAGCACCTGCACCCAGGGACTCTACCTGGATCCTGAGCCTGCCACTGCCTCCCTTGGGTGCCAGCCCCCTCAGCAGCTGCTGGCCAAGGCAGCACCATGGGCCCCTTGACTGGGGCTTCCATCCAGCACTTGGGGTCTCCAGAAAAGCTGTCATAAAGAAGAATTTACCACCACAGCTTGATTCCTGCACTGTTCTGTGTCCACCCAGATCCCTTGCTTGGGGTGCAGGATCCATCTGACTCCTGCTGAGGTATTGTCAGGTCCAGCTGCTGGGAATGTGGAGGGCAGGATGTGGTGTCAGGACGTGGTGACAAGACATGGGGATGGCATCTGGCTGTGAATCAGGCTGATGAAGTGCTCTGGGCAGGACACGCACACCCAGGGGATCCTTAATGACGGCACATGGGGCACTAGGTGCCTCCCCAAGGAAAACACCCCAGAAACCAGAGGGTGACAGAGACCCCAGGCAATTGCTTGGGGACAGGCTTTGCCCTTGGGGAAATCTCTGAGGGAACCAGATCCTCTCTGGTGGCTAGGACCGGCTGTGCTGCCGGATTCCTCAGCATGGTGTGTCCCAGGGCTTGGTCTAAATTTGTTGCTATTGCTAAGGGGAAGTGTGGGAGGGGCCCTTCAGTCCCCAGCCAGGCAAGGGCTGAGCAGCCACATGTCCCTCAGGTGCTGCCAGTCCTTGGTGTGGCCCCTGCTGTCCCATACCCTGCATGAATGGGACCTGACATGGCCATCCAAAGCCCTGTGTTCTCATGTGTGCATGCATGATCCTGTGCATGCAGGACGTGTGTGTATCTGTGTCCATGTGCACATGTGTTTGTGAGCAGTATTTTGATGTGCACACACGGCAGCCTTGTTCCTGAACCAGGAGACTCCATCTGACCCCCACCCTTGGGACTGCCAGCATGAAACCCTGGCACAGATGTGTTCAGACACACATATCCCCCCCAGAATGCCCTCCACCGTTGCATATCCCTGCTGGGGACAGCAGGACAGCCGCATGCTCCCTATCGCTTTCCCTGGCAGCTGCTTCCCGGTGGCTCCGGTTTCGTGGGGAGTGCAGCTGAGCCCATCAGTTATTTCCAGGGAGGAGGGACAGCTGAGGAAATGTCCATCACCCTCACCCTCTGTGCTGAGATTCCCCATGGGTGCCCTATGTGCAGGCAGGAGGTGCAGGCAGGCAGCCAGGACAGAAGGAAAACCGGCAGCACCGCCCCCTGTGTTTTCCATTTTTTAATTATTCCCCACTGATGAGCATCTTCTGGAAGCGCCAACAACATCACGTGCTTTAATCAGCGTTAATTAGCGGGTGCCTCGGGACAGTGATGAGGGCAGGCAGCAGGAGCCCCCCCTGTGCTGTGTGCACAGCCGGTGTTGGTGCCAGCACCCACCACCTCCCACCTCCCACCTCCCAGCCCCTTCAACCCACAGCCCCCTCTCCACCCACGACCCCCCAGCCCCTTCTTGCCTAGGGCCCTGCCAGTGCTGTGTCTGCTCCCAGCGCCTTGCAGAAATGGGCCACTGGCCATCCCAGGACTGGTCCCCATGAAGGTCCCCAAGGACATCCCCTGCGCTTCCTGTCCTCTCTGAGAGCTGGAGAAACTCAGCTCCATCCTGTGAGGAGCAGGGACTGTCCTGCCATAAATGGGGACAGTGGCTCCAGCCATGCTTGGAAGGAGACAGCCTGTGGCCCTCTGCATGGCTGTGTCTGACAAAAGGGGAAGGAGGGACACCACCAGCCCCAGTGCTTATCAGGATTCCCATCCCACCCAGCTCCTCTAATCCTTCAGCAAAGCGGGATGGCAGGGGATTTACAATATCCAAAACCAGTGAAAAGGCAAACCCTCCATCATGTCTGGGATCCCTCTGAATGCACATGGTCCCAGGGGTTCTCAGAGCCCCATCACTGGGGGAGTCTTGCAGCCCTGTTCCCAAGACAAAACCTGGAGACCCAGCAGAAATTCGGAGAGAGAAGCTGAGGTGAGATCAGGGAGTTTCCATATGCTGGAGCCCACTTTGGCAGGTCTGGCTTTGTCCCATTCCAGCTCCTGCAGCTCCAGCTCCTGCAGCACCCTTCACCCCTGCCCACGGTTCCTTCAGCATGGCCATGGTGACACTGCAGACTTCTGAAAAATGGGATAAACAAGAGTAAAAAATATAACTCATGGCAAAAGTTCCCTGCAGCAGCTGTGGCATCTTAGCCGCCCCCAACCATCCCTTGTCCCGAACTCCTCTCTCAGTGCTGGCACTGGCTGCAGGCACATTAGAAGCTGCTGGGTCGGATCATCATGCGGGTGCCCTTCAGGGAGTAGCTGGGCCCCTGGAAGTGGTGCCAGCGGATGCCGTTGAGCTTGCGGATGTTGTTCCGGGCCGGATAGTAGATGCCATTCAGGTTGGAGAGGCCACAGGCATCAAACCACCATCCTGTGAGAAGGGAGCAGGGTGGGAAGATGGCACCGCAGGCTGGCACTCATAGGTGCTGCATGGAGGTGTCCCCCTGCTCCACTCACCTCCCGAGAGCATCTGGGCACACTTGCAGAGACAGTTGTCATTGTCGGCGTCACGGGTGCTGAATTGGGTGCCCTGCAGTGCCAGGCCACTCTGATGCCCAGCTGTGCCACTGTAGTCCTGCAGTGACAGCCTGTGCCCAGCAGGAACACAGCCACTGTCACTGCCAGTGACACTGCGGGTCACAGAGCCCCCAGCACTGCTCAGCGGCTGCCGTGAGCTGAACACAGCACAGAGGGAGAGATCCTGCAGTTCCAGCTTAGCCTCCTGTCCTTGTTCCCCAAGAGTGGAGGTTGTGGTATGCTGGGGCAGAGAGGACCCTCAAGTCTCCTCCAGTCCTCTTGCTGGAGGTCAGCTCGGTGCATGCATGGGATGGATGGTGCAGGGGATGTCTGGGGTCTGGTTCCACCTCCAGCCCAGCAGTGAAGGCCCCCAGCTTTCTACCCTCCTGCCCATGGCCAGGAGCACATGGTCACGGCAAGCTGAGCACTAGAAGCACAGCATCCCTCCCTGGATGGAGGATGTTGGGGATGCCCAACCCCCCTGGAAATGCCTAGTGGCCACAGCTGTGTCACCTCCCTTGCCCAAACAAAGAGCCTCAGTGCAAGTGTCCAAGTTGCTCCCGCTGGAATGGCAAATCCCACTGCCTTGATGCAATTTTATACATTAAAAATCTACTTCTCAGGAGCTCAGGGAGAGATCAAAGTGTCACAGCAATGTGCCTGGCACCCGGCATCATAACTACACCAGGACAACCCAGTGAAGCCCCAGGTGATCCTGCACCTCCGTGTGGCACCACACCCAGCCCTTCCCCCTGGCCACAGGGCTTGGGGACAGTCAGAGATGGAGAGTGCTGGGCTGTTCCCACAGTGCCTCTCCCCTACCTGTAAAACTGCCGCTCACTGCCCAGCTGGAATTTCCCGTAGTGGGCATACACCTGGCCGCCTTCCCAGTCCTGCAGCTCGACCCGCAGGGCATAGGGCACCCGGCTCGTCAGCAGGTGCACAGCTTCATTCCCCAGCCAGTATTCCCCCGACGCGTCCCCAAAGCCCTGTGAAGCAGCAGGGTGGGTGAGTTCAGGGTGCCTGGGGTTGCCCCCAGGGTGTCTCCCTCCCCAGTCAGGCACACACCTGCTTGTACTCCCTCCAGCTCCTCTGGAAGCTAAGGCTGCCGTTGGCACGAAGCTGGATGATGGTCCAGCCCCCTCGATCTGTCTCCATGTCACAGTATGCCTGCAAGGAGAGTGAGGGACAGGCTGGGGGTGGCTTGGAGTGGATGGCTAGGTGCACCCCTGCCAGAATGGGCAGGTCAGCATTGGTGCTAGAGCTGGCTGAGGAGCTGGTGAGGGTGTGCTGTGCCCAATGCCTGGCTGAAGGGTCTCTCCTCCCTCCATGGCCATGGGCAGGGGCTGGTTTTTATAGGTCAGGGCGCCTTTAAAATCAGTTTTATACCCCCATTTGGAAGGCTGTGCCAGCTCTGCTTTCATCCCGTGGGTATTGCCTTCACCCTGTGCAGCCCCCAAGGCTGGCTGGGGTGGGGAAACTGTTCAGAGATGTGCCAAGCTAAAGGGATCTGGTGTGGGGCTGGTGTGCACTGGGTGGGCAACGCTCTGGGGTGCTGCAGGGAAGCCCTCTCTGAACTGTGCTCACCTTTTTGGGCTCGCTGAGGTTGGCAATGTGCAGTGTGTAGATGCCACTGGCATGGATGCCTGCCCGGCGCATCTCGGCACAGTCCTGGAATTGCTGCTCCTGCCCAGGTGACATGGCTGTGGCAGAGGGGACAGTGAGAAGGCAGAAACCCTGAAAGCCCTGCAGCCCTGCATGGTTGTGCTGCTCTTCCCTCTCCCTCTGAATGTCTTTGTGCTCACGGATTATTTTTTTTTCCTTCTGCGCCATCTCCTGAGGGCTGGGCACGGCAGCACTGCCACCAGGGCTGCTGCCAGCCTAACCCCGGGGTGTTTGCCATGGGGGAATGGCGTCAGGCTATGGACCCACCCCTTGGGGCTCCAAGCTGCTCCTTGGTTGCAATGAGCAGTTCATGTTCTAGTGGAAGGTGTTCCTGCCCATGGCAGGGTGATGCAATGACATGAGCCAACCCAAACCATTCTATGATTGAATAATTCGGTGATTTTTGAGGTGAAGTCACTCAAGCTGAGCAGACCACAGGGGCACCCTAGCATGCTCCTGGGAGCATGAGGAGCTTTCCCACTGCCCCCACTCTGCCTGCAAACCCTGCTCACCTCTGCCCTGGGAGACGAGGCGCACCAGGCTCTGGACAGACTGGAGGAGCTGGAGCTGCTGGCGCTGGAGCAGGCTGGTGTTGGCACTGGCAGCCAGCAGCGTCTTTTCCATCTCCTCGATGGTGCCGCTCTGCCGGCTCAGCAGCCGCTGCAGCTTCTCCTTCTCTGAGTGGGCCCCCGCCAGCTCCGCCTGCTGCTTCGCTTCCATCTCCAGCACCCGCACCTCCAGGATGCTGGGAGTGGGATGCAGCGGTGATGGGGTGGCAGAGCGGTCCCAGTGTGTCTGCAGAGACCCATTGCTGTCCCCATCCCCTGCTGCACCCCCTGAATTGTACCCTCACTTCTGGGATGTGCCCAGCCAGGGGAGCCCAAAGCCCAGTGGCCATGCTGGGGCTGTGCAATCCCCTAGGGACCACAGCCAGCACCTGGAGGGGTTCAAGCCCCCTCAAAGTGTACTGTGAAGTGGGAGAGACCAGCCTCCCTGTGGGGTCCAAGGGCTGTGGGGGTCCCTGAGTCACCCCAGCCCCTACTTGTTTCTGTTCTGCAGCTTGTGGATCTCATTGGTCTGCAGCAGCAGCTGCTTCTCCAGCTTGGTGGTGGACAGGGAATTCTCCTGGAGCTGCATCTCGATGCGCCATGTCTGATTCAGCACCTGCCTCGGGAGCAGAGGGGAGTCTTGGCACCAGCAGCCAGAGCCACACCACAGCCGTGGTGTCACCGGGCTGGCTGGTCTCTGCCACACAGCCCTGGTACCTCCACCACTGGTGCATTAAACCCTGTGTCACCTCCGGGAATAGCTTTAATCTGCCGACAAACTGTGCCACCCACCAGAGCCTCAGGGTGGTGGGGACGTGGGGACACGTGTGCCATACCTGGGCCTCCACGTCGGTGAGCTTGCGGCTCTGCTCGGCGCTGCGGTTGAGGAGGGAGCTGCCGATCTCCAGCATGGTGGCGGTCTGGTTCTGCACTGCCGTCTGCTGCAGCTCTGCCATCTCCGGCTTCATGCTGCTCTGGATGTAGCTCTCCAGCTGTGCAGGGAAGTGAGGATCCAGGGGGTCATTCAGGCACCTCTTTAGGTCATGTCTCAGCATCCCAGCTGAGCCTGGCACGACTGGGCACAGCCTCCAGGAACAGCCCTGTGTCTCCACAAGGCTTGACCCAGCTCAGGGCCCTTAGAATCTTATCAGAGGACAGAGCGAGCTGAGCTGCTGCAGGGGAGGCTCCTCAGGCACCAGCTGCCAAGATTCCTGGGCTGTGGTACCAGCTGGGGCCTGGCACGGGCTTCTGTGTGCCCAGGTGTGCTGGCGAGCTGGGGCTGATGCCCAGCCAGGGTGGCCTGTGCCAAGCAGCCAGGCAGGGAATGGCTGCCACTGGCATCAGCGTCAGCTGCCAGCCCCCAACCACTGGCTTCCCAGGGCTGGGGATATGGAGGGTGAGGGGACACCATCAGCCAGAGAAGGTGGGTGTCCAGCACACGGTGCTGCTCCACCACGAGGAAGTACGTGGGGCTGGGGAGAAGCTGGCTGCGAACACAGCTCGGACACAGCTGAGATGACGCTTCCGCTTTCCCAGCCCGCGGGGGAGCCGCCTTTCCCAAAGGCTTTGCTATTTCTGGCAGCCCCGCCATGAGGTTCCCATTCAGCCCCTCCCCAGGGCGATGGCCTCGGTGGGGGCACGGTCCCTCGGCAGGGGCCACGGGGAGCGGAAGGGGCCACGCTGCCGCCCACGCTGGGAAAGCAGCCCCTGAGAGCAGGAGGGACGGGGGCTGCCCAGCTCCCTGCATCCCACAGATGCTGCTGTCCCTGCAATGCCCAGATCCTGCTCCCTGCCTGAGCTCCTCAGTGCTGCAGGCAGAGCCTCACATCTCCCTGCAGCTGGCGGGGTTGCGGACCAGAATCAGCAGGATTGGGATGCTGCTCTTTAGGCAGTGTGGAAAGCAGGCAGTGGTGCCGGGATGTTCTGCACCATGGTGGGAATGCAGTGGTGCTGGGATGCTTGGCACTGTGGCAGGCAGGCGGCAGTGCTGGGATGTTTGGCATCATGAAATACCAGGATGTTCAGCACCACGGCAGGCAGCAGTGTTGCGATACTCAGCGTGGGAGTGGGGCCGGCAGCCGGCCAGGGCACAGGGCTCTGCACTTGTTTGGCATGACGAAATCTCACTGTTCCCTCCTCCTCCACACCAGACAGTGGCAAAACCATCACCCCCCTGTGAGCATCCATGTGGGGCAGGAGGGTCTCCGGGCAGGAAGGTCCCAGGGCTGACATCGCAGCCAGCATCTCCTGCACCCCTTTCCCTGGGGATTTTCTCTCACAGGAACATGCTCTCAGGGAGGAAGCAGGGAAAGGTCGGAGAGCGGCGTCTGGAAAACATTTCCCCAAGCTGAGGGATTGCTGGAGAGTTTCCCTTTAACCACGTCGTTAATCTTGTTGCTTCACAGGCTTGGGGAGGCCTTTTCTCCCGCTCAATCTTGCTGCTTTTTTTTTTTTATTTTAAATAAACATATCTGTGAGCCAAGGGCAGAACATACCCACGGAAAAGGTCAAGCTGGCACGGGGAAGCTGAGAGCCCTGGAGATGGAGTCTTGGATCCTGGCCCCAGCAGCTCCCTGGGAGCTGGAGTGGGGCACAGTGTCCCCAGGCATGTTTGGCATAGAGGACACAAGTAGGACAGGCTCTGTGCCAAGGACAGGGAATCCGGGATCCCCCCTCCTTCATCTCATGGGTGCTGATGTGAGCTAGGCTCTCCTGGTCTCAGAGACCCATTTCTCTACCACAAAGGCAGAGCTGCTGGGGGAAAAGCTGTGGTGTTGTTTTGGTCACCCCCAAACATCACCATAGAGCAGGAGGAAACTCAGCCACTCGCTGTCCCCATGCTGGGATCCCATTGCCCACAGCTGGATCATCCTTCTTGCAGCCACATCCCTCCCCTAAGTCCCATTTCCTATCTTTCCCTGGCATTTCTAAACATTTCACAAGCACTGGCTCAGGAATCCTTGAGTCACAGGTGGGTGGAAAACCCTTCACCTGCTCCCCATACCCCTGCACACATCTCAGGGTGAGCAGCATCAGCCCCTGTGCCTCAGGGAACCTCAGAGCTGCCAAAATGCCACTGCCCTGCTGGAGACCCCATCCCATCCCATCCCATCCCATCCCATCCCATCTCATCCCATCCCAAGTTCCCCCTAGACCCAGCGGCACCATCAAGTGTTTGTGTTTGAACTAAAATTAACTCCTCCTGAGACAGAAGCAGCTGATGTGTCCTTGTGTGCTGGGTCCTCGCCATGTCCCCACCAAGGGGTGCTGAGTGGGGAGGGTGCACCAGTCCCCCAGTGCCATGGATGGGGGTCCTGAGGGAGGCCGGTGCTGGAGATGCCTGAGGGGACCTGGGGAACCCTATGGGTACCAGGAGACCTCCCAGTTTCTCAGCACCCTGCAGGGCTCCCCATGCCAAGGCAGAGCAGACGAGGATGCAACGTTATTTACGATCTGTCCCTGAACCCAATGCTTCTTTTCAGCCCTCGTTTGTTTGTTCAGGGCTGGAGTCTGACCAAAACAAGCGTTCTTGGGCAGCTCTGCTGAAATTTGGGAAGCTGAGGAACAACAGCAAAAAACATAGCTGCAAGCTGCCTCTAAAAGGAGAGAGCCATGCTGCAGGACGGGGCGGGACAGGATGGGATGGGGTGGGATTGTTGTGATGGGATGGTTGGATAGAACAGGATGGGGAAGGAATGGAGTACTGGCTGCCCAGTGCTCCACTGCCTTGTGCTCCTTGGGGCTGTGGTGAGGGGCATTGCTGCCCACAGCTGCCCAGATGTGCAGTCACACTTTGCCTGTGGCAGTCTGCTCTGGACAGGGCCATGTGCACCTGTGGTGGGACCCTGGTTCCTGCCTTGCTTGGCCATACAAAGGCTGCCCTCATCCCACGGGAAGCTCAGAGCTGGCCTGGGCACACAGGACACAAAGACACCAGAGCACAGGGACACCAAGGCAGAGAGCTGAGGGCAGAGGGACCCCAGGGCCCAGAGACCCCAGGATTTGTGTGCACCCAGCAGACCCAGCAGGTTCCACAGCGATAATGATTTGGTGCCACCAGCCAGGTTGTCACTGGCCCTGCTGACCCCTCTGAAACACTCTGGGCTGGCTTCCAGCAAAGCCACGGTTCAGTGTTTTCCCAGCTCTTGAGGAATTTGTTCTCTAGGATGGCTGAGGGGACAAGGAACAACGTCCTGCACGTCTCTGCTGCCTGCACTGTCCCCCACAGCCAGGGTGCCTACCCGAGCAGCGTGGCTGGCACAGGCCATCCCCAGGACCCCCACTCAGTGTGTTGGCCCCATCCTGAACCCTGAATGCTGCAGGGGCTCGGCACAGGAAGATCACCCAGGAAATGGGAGTGCAGAGGCACACAGGTCCCATGGCAGCCTGGTGGGACACCACAGGACATGCATGTGGCTCTGCTGGCTCAGTGACAGCTGGGGACAAGCCACTTCCCCTCTTATCAGTGCAGGTACCCAGTGTTCCTGGCACAGGCTGTGGGGTTCAGGGCCCCTCAGGGATGTGTCCCTTGGGATGAGCTATTCCTGGGTCTGACGCAGGCAGCCACACTCAGCTGCTGGGGGCTCCAGGAAGGAAACGCTTCTTCCTGTCTCAGGCATTGGGGATGCGGTGAGCCAGTGGGGGCTGAGGGTGGCAACCCTGTGGGTACACAGCCCCTCTGGTGTGGCACCCCACTGCTCCCACCGTCCACCACCCATAGGTCACCCAGGAGCCATGGGTCCCACAACCAAGTGCTGGGAGCTTTTGCAAAGCCTGTAAGAGGGAAAATGATGAAACTGGAGAGATTTTGGTGGCCCCTGCCCTTGGGATCCTTGCCCTACCATTGGCCAAACCTCTTCCCAGTTTCCTCTCCCAGAACCTGGAATGCTGATCCCCAAGGGATATTTGTCACGGCTAACCCAGCCAGGACCATGAGGAGCCCTATGGCAAGGATGGACAGGGAATAGAGCCTCAATGGGAAGTGATTTGGATGAGTGATCTGCAGCACCCACGAGCTGCAGCCCCCACAGAACCCACAGCACGCACCCCCTTCATGCAGACAGTGCCTGATGCCAGCTGCACACCTGCAGAGAAAAGCTGACCCGGATGCTCAGGTGAGCACAGGCCCCAGTGCCCGCAGCTATGCCACAGGAATGCGGCATGAGTGAGTGTCCCCCCCCACATCCCACACCCCACATCCTACACCCTACCTTCAGCAGCCACTGGGTGCTGTTCTCCAGGATCCTCTCGAGGTGCCGCAGGCGCTGGGCAGCCCCGTGCCCGGCGGTGCCGGCGGGCGAGTCCCGCTGGAGCAGCACATTGGCCGGGCCTGGGACAGCACCGGGAGCTGCCGGGCAGGGCAGAGGGTCGGCCTCGGGCAGCACGAAGGTGTAGCTGCAGTGGCCGTGCTGCACGCGGTGGTAGCGTCGGCGGCCGCCGCCCTCCAGAGCCCGGCGCTGGGCTCCGGCAGCGCACAGAGCCGTCGTGGCACAGGTCAGGGCCACGAGGCCGAGGCTGATTGCCCGCATGGTGCGGGGGTCCCCGCGGGACCGGGGTGCCGCGGCGGGGGATGCGCCGGCAGCTCGCTCTGTGCCGGGATGGGTCAGTGGGCGCTCGCCGCCGCGTCCAACCGCGGCGATTTCGGCATTTCCTCCCTCTGAGCCGGAGCTGGCCGCCCCGGCCTTTTATCGCCAGCCCTCGCAGGGGGAGAGGGGAGGAAAAAAAAAAAAAAAAAAAAGAAAAACAAAGGAAAAAATCTGTTTAAAAACAATACTTCTATCTTTTTTCTTTCCTCTGAGTCCACTGCGGGGAGATCAAGTTTCACACGTGATCTATAAATGTCTCTCTCACACACTCACACACTCACAGTCACACACACAGCCCCATCCCTCCCCCGGCCGTTCTCTGCAAAACTCATTGCACATCCTGGGGTGGACAGCGCCATGGCAGCACCGAACCCTCCCATCCTCCAGCCCTAAACCCAGCGAGCCCCCCCGAGCAGCACCCGCTGAGATTCACCACACTCAGGCACCCCCATCCCGGGCAGCACAGCTCCCTCCCCGAGTCCCGGCTATTTATAATGCCAGCGGGAGCCAGGCCTGGATTTTGCTGCTCTGGCCATGGGATGAGCCCGTGGGGACCAGGAGGAGGGCTGTGTCCCAGATAGAGTTTGGCAGGACACAGCCAGACTGTGCATGGGGCTCGGCGTGCCCAGATCCCAGGCCGGGGTCTGTCGGGGGCTGATGGACTCCAGCCAGAACTGGGGGTCACCACGTCTGCCA